ACTACACCGGGTTGCCCAAAGCCTCATCCATAATAATCCATATCTGAATAATAGAAGGACACAGTAAGTACTGTACTCTTTCAAAATATTCAGCATTACAAACCAGAGCACAAACTTCCAGCATTCCTTTATTGTAGTTTTGAATGAAGCTGTGATTGGCAGTGTTTAGAGGTGGCTTTGTTTGTGTAGAGATCTAATCATGGTGGCATTTTTGCTCTCTTCTCTATTTGAAAACGAGCAACCAGTGGTGTACCAAACCTATGAGCTCGAGAACTGCTGAGACGGCGCGAAAGCCACAAAACACCTACAGATGCTTCTGGTGTTCCGCTGGTGTCACTGCTTTCAAGGGGAAAAGTAGCAGCGTAAAATCCTTTTTATCCTGCTCGGATCGACTGTTTGATATTGGCTGAATAGGCTGCTGTTAATTTAAAATCATTAATTTCAGTTAATGGGTGTAATGGCTCTGTGAAATCCTCTTTGTTTTGGCCTCCGCTGCAGCGTTCCACAAGGCTGGCAGGCAGAGCGAGGCCGTGAGGGTGCTGGAGCAGCTGACACACAACGCCGTGCTCGAAAGCCGGTTTAACGACGCAGCCTATTATTATTGGATGCTTTCCATGCAGTGTTTAGATATAGCCCACGGTGAGTAACTGAGAGGAAGTTTGTATGTGTTACCTTCCTGTGCACGTAGACAATTACTGAATGGTGATAGCGTTGCTGCAACTGGTTCGCTGCTGTGTTGCTTTGGTTTTGGTTAGGGTTTGTTGTTTGGGTTTTTTAATGCTGTGCATAACTCTGGCTTGTGCTATTTTTGTAGTCCCCTGGTTCTCCCATGTGCTTATTTAAAACAACTAAGCAAAACAGCAACAGCAGCATGCATGGGCCGCCTTCTGAAACCTGACTGGAGTCAAAACCACGTCTCCTGGGACCGTGTATCCTCGTGTACCGTTCCACAACAGGCTTTAACTAGAGAAGTGGTTGGAGGATTAACGTACTAGTAAATAAAGATGGTCTTGGAGTGTAAGATACGTATTGTATTTGAACATAGGTTGCAGAGGTACTTTACAGATTATTTCTGCCAACAGAGATGAAACTGATTGTTTGTTAGCTGTCATCTTGTCTTCTGAATGCGTTTCACTGAGAGAGAGGTGGAGCCAGTAGTTAATAGGCGTAATTTAGTAATAATGAATACAAAAGATTGATAATACTGCCTTTTGTCTGGTGCTACAAGTACCTTTTTTTTTTTTTTTTTTTTAAGTTCAGCTGATGCATGGTAGAGTGCTTCTCTGTTACCTCTCAGGTATTTTACAGAGATGCAAACTTTTCTAATGGGCTTAGTAGTGATCCAAGATTTATGAAACAAATATTTCAAAGCTCACTTTATTTGTAAACTCTGAAGTTATAAATGAGGTTTGCAGTGATGCACACCTACTGTTTTCTACTTTTAACTAAGCTGCAGCTTCTAGCTATGTTAAAACCATTGCCTCAACTGTTTTGTGGTTTACCATGCTTGTTTTAGACCGTAAATTTGCTCAGAAAAACGCCAAGTCTGTATAACGTGTGGTTTGCCCAGGTAGATGGGACACGCTTGAACTGGTACACACCTCTTTTGGAAGTGCTGGTGCTAAAACCATGATATACTGTTTTCTTCCAGCTGAGTCTCATCGACTCATCTTGGAGACTTACACTAATGCCTTTGCCTCCCACAGAGAATGAACAACAGAAGACTGAAATGCTACAGAAGTTTCATCACTTCCAGCATTTGGCAGAAGTTTACCACGTCTATCACTTTATTCAAAGATATACCGTAAGATATTTAGAAGTTATGTATTTGTGCTTCGTGAGAGAGTCCAGAAATAACTAGGAATAATTAATGACTCTTCAGGCAATTAACTATTGAGGGTGGATTAGTGATACTATATAGTAACTTTATTTCTTTGCCTTCTGCTGTACTGCACAAGAACTTCTCTTGTCTCGATTCCTAAAGACTGCAGCACAGTTTTAGCAGATGTGTGGTGTCTCAGTGTGGGCAGAAGATACGATGGTGGCTGAGTTCCCACCCCCAACCCTTTTTTGCTAGCTGTGTCGGGTTTGTTCCGCAGTGACCTGAGCCTCTCGTCCTGTGCAGGCTGTGGTCAGCTTTGGCTTATCCTGGGAAAACAAGATTGAGCAGAAGAAGGCATCCTAGCTTAGGGATTCCCCAAATGTGGTATGTGTATCAGTAGTGATGTGTGTAAACTACTCCAGAATGATCAGCAGTCATGAGTGAGGAGCTCCTGCTACTTCCAGTAATTGTAGTAACCTTGCTGCAACTGTTGGTGACAATCTATTTTGTAAAACCTTTGAGAACCCTTATCTGTGCCCTTGCCCTAAAGCTGACCCTGCTGTAGAGGTCTTTGCTGGTCAGACTACTTCAGACCTTACAGTGGTGGAGACTCTGCACTCTTGCTGGCCAGTCTGCTCTCATTTTCAAATAGCCTGTTAAAGATTCAGTTTTAGCTACATGGATCTCTTTCTCTCTTTTTCTGCATGTAGCAGACATGAGCTTTGGTGATAAGACGTGCAAAATCCACTTGCTGTATTCTGTCAGCACCTTTCTTTTTGCAACTGTATGGAAGAAACATAGTATTTGAGATTGCTGGTGCTGTGATGCTTAGTGATACGAGTTGTTGATTTTCTGGCTTAGAAAAATGTGTCTGTGTTTTTAATACTGCAGGAGGAGCCTTTCAGTTTCCACTTGCCTGAAACCCTCTTCAATATTTCCAGGTTTCTGCTTCACAGCTTAACAAAGGAAACTCCTCTGGGGATCTCGAAAGTGTATCCTTCCAACAGTGCAAAATCTACAAGTTATCTTGTGAGATAAACATGAAAGGAATAATTGATGTTGATCCACAATGCAGAGATCTCCTGTAGGGTATCTTCAGTTTTGGCTGTTGGTTATAGTTAATGGAAACTGACTTTTGTCCCTAAGGAAATACCAGCATCTTCAAACTATTGTGTGTTTAACTGCCCTACCTTTTTTGTTTGTTTGTTTGTTTTAATCAACGAAGGTGTAATTCTCAAAACCACCCACCTAGTCTGGTGTATCACCTTTGTCAGAGGAGCAAGTTCCAGGATACCAGTCATTGCAACAGGATGCTGGCTCTGAATCTTGACAGTGTTGTTGCAAGGAGGCTGAACTGAGACGGGAGGGGTAAAAAAAAAAACAAAACCAACAAAAAACCAGGAGCTTTTGCTTCCCCTGCAGCGGTGGCAGCCCTCTGTTCGTGCACACTGCGGCTTCGGAGAGGGCTTGCTAAACGGCCTGTGCACCCTGTGGAAATGCACCTGTCCGTGAAGGACAGCAAGAAGGGTCACTGGATGCCACAGGGAGACCTGATGTTCTTGTTTCCACTTCATTTATGGCTTTGCATGGGATGTTAGCTTTCCTTTTCGTAACTTCCTCACTTACACATGTATTGCCTTTCACAACGTGCCTTGTGATCCGTAGCTTTCTGAGCAGCAGTTACTCTTATACGCTGATGAAAGGGGAAGGCAGAGCATGTCTTTCGTTTCCAGTAAGATCATGTGTATTTAGTTGGTGTTTGTGCATTGCTGGTGTTTTAAGACTTTTTACTTTTTTTTTTTTGGCTGGGGGAAAATCCATTCACTCTAAAATTACCAAAATTTTTTAAACGGATCAGAATATTTAACCAAAGTGATATTAACGTAGGGTCAATTCCTTACCTTGCTGGTAATTGCCTACAGATGTTTTGATAGCTCTTTCACACTTGTTTTTAAATAGTTATGTAAATAGATTGCTCTCGTTAAAGTCTGTTCAAAGTACTGATGTTGGATATGCTTCATTGCACAACTTCTCTGATTAGAAAGAGTATTGCAGTTTTTCCTAAATGCCATATGTATTTTTATTCCTTAATTGAATTATAGCAACACATTATTTGCCCTGGCAAAACAGAGTAGAGCTCTGGGTGCATATAAACTGGCTCGTCATGCCTATGACAAGCTCCAGGGGCTGCAGATCCCAGCCAGGTTCCAGAAGTCGATTGAGCTGGGCAGCCTGACGATCCGATCGAAGCCGTTCCACGACAGCGAGGTGAGTTGTCGTGTTTCATGTTAATCCTTAATGTGTGGCCTCAGCCAAGAATGCGAGTTACTGTGTGCACAAAGAAGGCTGAAATATATTATGCATAAGTGTGATGTATTTCTGCTGGAAACAGTCCTTTTATTGCTGTTCTTTAGGTCAGACTTCCTTTGGCTCCTGCGAACAAATCACAGTCAGTCCTTTATGGGCAGCCTCCATCCTCCCTCTCCTGTCCTGCCTCTGCCTTCCTCTCTGCCTATTAATTCTTTCAAGCCTTTTTCTCTCCGATCCACATGCAATTACTCCGCAGTCTTTGTCTCTCTCTCCAGCTGGAGGTCACTTTCATTTGTCCCACTCCTAGCACTCCTTCCCTCCTCCCCCTATCCCTTGAATGACCTTCCTTCCTTAAGTCTTATTTTAACACCTTTTCTTCTTTAACCGAAGTCAGACTTTCTGCAGTGTTCTGTAAAGCCGTGTCTCATGGAGTACTCACTAAAAATAAATTGTATTGTGCAAGTGAACATGCACCTGGCCACCTGAAATAATAGAAACACAATCTTAAGAACTGCCTAAAATAACTGTGCTCTTGAAGAGAGATGAATGAGTTGAAGAAACTTAAATTTGACCAAACCTTACAGCAAGAAACTTTGCTTTGGTAGCCTTCTCTTCGACTTCTTTTGTCACTGTGTATTTGATGCAGAATTCTGCTTCTGTTACTGCAAAAGCAAGGTGAAATTTAATTGTTAGAATGGTGAAGACTTTTTAATGTGAAAACTTGCTGGTTTATCAAAAAGGGAAAGCATTTTCAGACGTTGAAGGATCCGATTTCACAGCAGTATTTCTCCAGACTAGCGCTGAGGTAGCATCAGTGGTGTGAACCGAAGGAGCCCGTATTTAATTGAAAACAAAAGAGCTCAGGACGTGCCGATCTGTTTACAATTACTGTGCTCTGCGTGTGTCTTTCAGGAGCTTGTGCCCTTGTGTTATAGGTGCTCCACCAACAACCCTTTGCTAAATAACCTGGGGAACGTCTGCATTAACTGCAGACAGCCTTTCGTCTTCTCCGCCTCCTCCTACGGTGCGTTGGAATATCACCTTTGGTTATGCCTTCCAGGTAGATGCATGGTAACTGAGCAGAGTGGCTTCGGACTTAATTTCTTCTCTCTGCAACGTTATTTGGACAAACAAATCTTTTCTTTGTAGATTTGACTGACGGGCTGCCTCGTCCCAGGGGTTGTTGCTTTCATTGCAAGATAGCAGCAGCAGTAGAGCGTTGCTTTATTGTGAGACACTGAGTGTACAAAGTGTTTCCTTAGCACAGATGCAGTCCTTCAAGGTGTTGAGGGGATTTTGGTTTGGTTTAGTTTCGTTTTATTTAACTTGCTTCATGAGAACACTTAGGCAGAACAGCAGCGTCAGCAAAGCCAGAGGGTGTTCGTTTCTTAAGGGGCACAGTATCTTCTAGGAGGCATTTTCTGAGTTCCTGCAGCCAAACGCTCCGTGCTTTTCACACCCTTTAGAAGTGCTGCATCTGGTTGAGTTCTATTTGGAAGATGGCATCACAGATGAAGAAGCTGTAGCTCTCATTGATCTTGAAGCTCCAAGGTTGAGTAAAAGAGAGAATAAATGGCAAGAGATGATGAGTGACCGTATCCTTTTGATTAAAATTGGTTTCCAATCCTTTTCTTAGGGGGGAAAAAAAGCAACAATTTTGAATTTACTTTTTTCCCTGTTAGGTTTAAAACTTTCTTTTTGTCATATGACTGATGTGAGTACAACTGTGTTGTGTTTCCTTTTCAAGTTGGTGTAACAACCAAAGAGATGTTTTGACTAAGCCTAACGTTTTCGTAAAGCTTTTTCATCAGGGCAATTTGTTTCTAATCATGTAATTTTTTTTTTGACAATGGAATGCCGTGCTCTGCCTATCTGGATTTAACTGCTTCCTGTAAAGAACAGGAAGAATCTGAAGTGTGTTTTTCACTTCCAATAACAGCTCATGTTAGAGGCTGCCTTCTCTTAGCCTGGGGAAACCAGCATGGACTTTCTTCATAAGCATTCCTGTTGGAATCTGTGTTGTAATGCTTTGGCATCCAGAGCTCCCAGTTGCTGTGGGGGCCGTATGATGTTAGGTGCAGAGTAATGCACAAGAAAACATCTCTGACTAAAGCTGCTGAAAGCTGTAATTTAAATAGGTTGCCTCATTGGCTTTTTGTCATCTGTCAGAAGGGGGCAGAGAGGGGAAGAAGGCAGAGCTGATGTCAGACTTGGTTGTGGTCAGTTTTGCTGTTCGGCAGCTGCAATGATAAGTTTCCCCAGTCGCTGTGAATCACAGCAAGCCCTTCTCTAGCACTTTCTGTAATAATCTGGGCACTGTAGCAGTTTGAGAATGCTCTGACCCTCTGGAGCAACAGGATACCAGTCCTGCTGGTATGCTTTTATACTTACTCTGTGAGCGCTAGCCAGCTAATTTCAGAGGAACTCTTTTTCTTCCTTAAAAAAATGCATCTAGATGCACAGAGTTTGAGGCTTGATGACAATACAGATATTATTGATGATGATGATCCCTTTACAGCAAAACTGAGCTTTGAGGTAAGAGCCTTACTTGTATCTTCCAGTTGTTTCTTTCTGGATACCAACAGAAATGAATAGGAAATTTTAACTTAACGATGCCTGCTGCTCTTCTGGTGTGGATGTGTTACAAAAACTACTGCAAGAGACATACCCCCATCCAAGGGACTGGAAGAGAGAGATGGAACTTGAGAGGGAAAGGGGTTTACCAGTTAACTCCTCTCTTTAAAAAAAAAATAATAATAAAAAACCCCTAAAAAATACCACCACCAAAACCACAAAACAATAAAGATCTTAAAGTAAACATTCCTGGAATTTGATTTTATCATCATGTAACGATACAACAGGGCTGTCCCCCAGGGTATTACTGTATCTAGGTGGTACACCAAGGAAACAGTCATTGCTGTGAGGTTTAACAACAGACTGTGGCCGTGGGTGTTATTTGCAAGGAATTGTGTTAAAATGAATAACGGAAGCTTACTGAAGCCAAGTTAGAGATGTGGCTGGATGCTGCTGTCGCTGAAGGTGTTGATAACACTGACAAGAGCGTGGTGGGACTAGGCTCAGGCCAATTCTGTATTAGCTTTTTCTACTGAGTTTTACTTTGCCTATTACCAGATCTTAGTAATCCTCAAAGGGCTTTGCAGTCGGTAACTAATTCTTTCTAAACCTGTTCCCTTGCAGCAAGGAGGCTCAGAATTTGTTCCAGTGGTTGTGAATCGTGCAGTTCTCCAGTCAATGAGCCGGAGGGACGTCCTGATTAAGCGCTGGCCAAAGCCATTGCGGTGGCAGTACTACCGTTCCCTGCTACCAGATGCCTCCATCACCATGTGTCCATCATGTTTTCAGGTAGTGTCTTCATGGAAAGGTTTGGGAAAAAAAACCACAAACAAACCAAACCAACAAAGAATCCCACTGAGAACCCTATGGCTGAAACAATTCTCATCATTGCAACCTCATACTTTAAAATGAATTCAACAAATTCCTGAAAGATGTAGAGGCAGAGAAGGCAATGGAAACCAAAACATAAGCTGCGTGATGCAGAGAGTCAGCTGCCTTCTGAACACTTGGAGGTAGCTGAATTTGAGAAGTTGCACTGACAGTGAGTCAGAGCCTCTCGAGCAAACCTTGGCTCAGCAACAAATGCTGATTTGTGTTTATTTCTTTTTCCTCTGTCTCTCTGACTTTCAGCCTGGCCTAGCAGGGAAAATCAGTAACTAAGCTGGCTTGTGGTTCAGTCTCTCTCCCTCTCCTTCCCCTCTCAGGAATGGCTTTTTGAGATACTGGAATTCAGTCACATTTGCTTACACAGAAACTGTCTAATTTTTATCCTTCCTCTGCAAAAGTAATTAATTGGTTTGCGGCTCTTCAGCAACATTGGCCGTGCTCTGTGAGACGCTTGCTGCTCTTCGCCAGGTTACAGCTCTCTCAAGCAAGTGAACGTTCCAGGACCAGTTCTCTTGGAGTGGTGGCTTCAGAATGTCTGCTCCAGAGAGAAGCCATTGAGCTCAGTTTGCGTTTTCTTTGAGCGAGTCACAGGCTAACTGCTCCCTAAATCTGTTCTTAATTAACAGATGTTTCACACAGAAGACTATGAGCTTCTCGTACTCCAGCACAACTGTTGTCCATTCTGTCGAAGGAGAATAGATGAGTCAAACCAATGAAGAAGAACAATCTAATCCTTCAAATGACAGGCTTCCCTGTTGGCTTCCCGAAGCACTTCTTAGATCCGTAGAGTTTTCCTACAACTTAGTTAAGTCATCTTGTTCCACTTGGTACATAAGAGTGGAACTGAGTTAAAGAAATTAACTATTTTTTTTAAATGAAAATGTCTGTTGTTTGTGAATTTCCTCTACATTTCCTAGGTAAGCAGCTGAAGTGCCCCAGATTTTTACAGGAATGTTTCTAGAGTCAAGTTCAGCCTTGAAGTGATAGTTGTTTTTACTCTAAATTGTGTTAGGACTTGATTTGTTCATTAATATGTACCCGTTATTGGCGGATCTTTAAATAAATGGGACTGTTTTTCACTACTCTCTGTCTCGGAATTTGCTATAATGCTGCTTCTTCTGAGCTTGAAGTTTTTGGGGTTTTTTTCTTCTATTCCATTTAGGCAAGAACAGCATTAGAGTTTAGAGCTCTTGAAGTGTGATCTTAAGAGTTGCACTGACCTTGGCATTAAGGACCCTCTCACAAAGGGGCAAAGCTTTTGGTCTGTGTAGAATTCACCCGTGTTAAAACACAGAGTGCCAGGGTGTGCGTGGAAGAACACATTTCATGTTAACCAGGCTGCCCAGGCAGGTACCTCAGCTGCCCACTGCTGCGTACGTGATCCCAGTAACGGGAGTGTGTTCGCTAACGAAGGAAACGCCGCTGACCTGATGGGCTGAACTGACTGTGTTGGCACGGTTGTAAATACGCCGGGGTGCCAGGCAGGAGCACCAAAGCAGCTGAGGGCTCATGGTCAGCCAGTGGTTTCCCACAGCATCTCCTCTGCACCCGTGGTAGGAGAGTTCTTCGTTGTCTGCTGCGAAAATAGCAAGTGATGTAACTTGCTGTGGTACTGGAATCGTGGGATCGTTCCCAAGACCCCTGGCATCCTGTCAGTTCTTGTGGCGTTTGTGATCCGAGTGTCCCTACGTGGCATGGACACACTGGCCTCTCTGAGCTCCTGCACGTCCCCAGGCCATCGTGCTGACCACCGGAGCGCTGTGCCCAAGGACTCTCTGGGCAGTATTTCCCTGGCGTTGTTCCAGTCCAGAGCCATGGGCAAACAGTGCGCAGAGGTGAGAGGAGATGGACCTGCCACCTTCTGCTTCAGCCTCTTGCTGAGACTGAGGGGGCTTTAGTGATGCAGCTGCTTGACCAAACGTGGTGGGGCAGTCCCAGGCAGCAGCTAAGCCCCCTTCTCCCTGCAGGACTGGGGAGAAAATCAGAAGAGCAAAAGCCAAAAAGCTCATGGGTTGAGATAAAGACAGTTTAACAAGTGAAGCAAAGCAAAGCAATAACCAGTCTATGTGCTCCTTCCCAGTGGCAGCAGATGTCCAGCCTGCTTCCTGGAGAGCAGGGCCCCAGCAGGAGTAATAGTCACTTGGGAAGACAAACACCACAAACTCCGCATCCTCCCTTCTTCCTCTTTTCCCTGAGCTTTTATTTCTGAGCATGACATCATCTGGTACGGAATCCCCCTTTGGCCAGCTGTCCCAGCTCTGCCCCCCTCCCCCCACTTCTTGCCCAGCTCTGGCCTGTTGCTGGGGCGGACAGAGTGGGGAAAAAGAAAAGCTCAGTGCTGTGCAAGCGCTGCTCAGCCGTCGTGACAGCCCTGGTGTGGTACCAGCACGGGTTTAGACACGAATCCAAAACGCAGCACCACGTGGCTGCCATCAGGAAACTCCATCCCAGTAAGTCCCAGCACACCAGCGTACTCCTGGGTAGTGGAATCTCCTGCAGGCGGTCACCGAGTAGTTGGACAGTGGAAGAATTTGTGTAGGTAACCAGCTGGGCTGGATTTGAGCTGGAAGCGATGGGTCTCTTGACTTCAATCCAGTACAAGTGTGCCCGTGTTACCGTGAAGTCTATTGTTGTTGTGACATCCCGTCTGCCGCAGCCTCCCTTTGTTTCGGGTGGGAAATTCTGTTCTGCTTTGCTTCCGAAGCTCTTGGCTGAGGCTGTGGGGTGCTGGTGAGGCAGCTGCCTTGTACCAGCACTTCGCACGTGAAAGTAGTGATGTCTGTGTCTGCTCGAGTCCCTCGTGAGAGGGACACCCTCAATGGCACCACGGGGTTCCTGAGTCCCTCAGGGACTCCTGACCAATTTTGCTTAATTTACCACTTCAGAAACATTCTGTTCTAATTACCACTCGTCTGCTTTTTGACTCGGCTGTCACTGTTTGCAAGGAAGACTTTGCAAATGACGTGGATAAACAATGCTGTTGGAGATGTGAGCCAGAATGGAACTCGGCTCGTTCTCCCGGAACTGGGCTGGCTTTGCAGAGCTGGTGGGAATGAGAAACTGTAAAAATAAATAGACAGGGTTTGCAGTAACACAGAAGCAAACTGGATCGAGCAAGGAAGCTTTTTTCTTTTTTTAAACAACTCTGTGAGTACAGTCTTGGTTTGAAAAGTTGTATTGGGCTCTTCTGGGCAAGAGCATGCTTGACACATCCCATACGTTAAGACGTTTTAATTCCAGACTGTCCCGTGCCGTTGAAACTCTCAGGTGACTTCCTGATAAGGAGTCCCTGGATGTACAAGAAGTCCCACCGCAGTGCTTTTGTCTGAAGCTACAGGAAGTGGTTGACCAGAAGTTTTCTTTGATTTGCCCCGTTCTGCCCCGTTCCTGCTTGTCTGCCCCACGGCCGTGCCCCAGCGGTGACGCACGCCAGGCCCTAAGCTCCTCGCAGCAGCTGCTGGCCTCAGCAGTGGCTTATTGCATCAGAGCTTAAGGTGCCATATTTGTGTGTTGGGAAGATAAACTGTTAATCCTTCTTGTATGCCCAGGTACCAGTGTGACCAGCTGCATTCACAAGCAGGTGGTGGCACTGCTCTGGCCTTGGCAACACGTGTGAAAAGTTAATTGAGAGGGACTTGGGATGAGCGAGGTGTGCCTGAGGACGGGGTGTTTTCATGTTAAGGTGAAGGAAGACCTTTGGGACTGTCCAGAGTGATGGTGGCCTGCCTTTGGCTACAGCCACCCAGGTCTTCCTTTGTCCGTGGCGCCAGCACTTGAGGTCCTTTAGACATTTCCTACTTAGAGTGCAAGTTTCCCAGCTTGGTCTCTTTAGAGAGAGTATGGAGCTTTGTGCTTTTTTCCTTTAAACTTTGCATATGCGAAACTAACCCACAGGGAACACTGGAAAAACTAGGACAGAACTGAAGGAAGTATATTAAGGCCAAGAGGACGTGAGTTTCTGCCCACCTCCCACCAGTGAGCTCCAGCAGCTCTGGCACGTCCTGTGCTGGATGCGGCGCTCACAGTCGCCCACTCCTCTGCTCCTGGCTGCAAGGAACGTTCGGATCAGCCCCCTGGCTGCAGCCGAAACAGCAAGGGGGGTGCTCAGGTCCGATCCAGCCTCTGTGCCCCGCCAAGGGGCAGAGCAGGCAGTCCTTGCCTAACCTCTGCGAGGGCACCAGCTGGTACCTGCCTGCCACCTGGGACCTTACTGACTGCTAATAAACAGTGGGTGGAGAAAAAGAGAAGAGATGGGGAAAATAGCTTTGGAGCTTAAGAGATTAGTCATGATGGTGTGAACTGTAAGGAACCACCTTCTCCAGAAGGTCTGCAGTTGGCTTCATTGTGCTCACTCTGCTTTACATGTTGTCCCGTTGCCTCTGAAAAATTAAGAAAAGACAATGTCTGACTCAATTGCTGGTTGGCACAAAGAACGTTTCAAGCATGACTGAGTGTATTGGGGGGGTGGGCAGAGAGACACGGGGGACGTGGGAGGCTCCAACGACAGCTTCCCCTGTGGAATTTGATGATTCTGCAAGGTTTCGGGGAGATGTCTGTCAACCAGCATATGAAGTCGAGTGTTGGTCTCAGCTCAGAACCTCCCTTCAGTGACCTTGTTCAGCAGCTTTTTCAGCACCAGAGCAGAATGATACCTGTCCAGGACAGATGGACCAGGTTAGTTATTAGGTGTTACCAAGGTAACTGGCATGACCCAAACCCCAAGCAAAGCCAGGCGCAGCGGAGATGGTACAACTGGAAACCTGCCAGCGGGGTCAGCGTTCCACTGCGGTGTTCAAACCTCCCCAGCCAGATGCTGTAGCAGAAAAAGAGGTGGCTGAGAGCACGTGGAAGAAGGGTTGGTGATTCTTGTGCTGCCCAAGAGCACCGTTCTGCAGCCTCCCACCGGGAATGGCAGTCATGGTGGGGACAGCTCTGCAGTGGGGACTAGCTGGTGTCATGGACTCGCTTTCCCTGTGTAAGAATGGGCCAGGGAGATCACTCTGTCACTGGTGGACTGCACCACACCTGCCCAGCCCAGCCACCATCTGCAGCCCCCAAACCCGCAGTCGTGGGGTTTTGAACCGCAGACTTCCCTCTTGTTAGCGGGGGACGGAAAGGAGCTTCCGTTTGTTGGCGAGAGCCGAAAGCTCAGCCCAGGGGCCTGGAGAAGGCGCAGCCAAGAGGAGGATCCCTCTGTGCCTTGACTTCCCCTGGCACCCTCCGCTTGGCAACCCGATAGTAATGCATCCCATCCCTGGTACCTCTCTGTGGGGAAACTGAGGCATTTCACACGGATGGGCAGTGCAGCCCTGAGTGCCCATGGAGGGTGGACTGGCAGCCTTGGGGGGAGAGCGTGTCCCCTGGGCGACGGCAGCGTGAGCTGTGGATGTCCAGCTCTGGATGGTGGGGAGCAAAGACTGCTGTGGGTGCAGCCCACCCCGAGCCCCTGTTCCCCAGAGGAGCGAGGCTGTGCGCATGGAGCTGCCGTCTGGTTTGGGTTCACCCCAAATGAAAGGTGCGGTGCAGAGCCACCTCTTTATATGTGACCATGAGCCGTGGTCTCCAACAACGACAGCGCGGGCCAGAAACAGGTGTCACCTTAATGCCTTCCCAGGAAAGCCCATTACCCCTGGATGATTATGATTAATAATTCTCTAAGCCCTAATCGCGCTGACACCGATGCCTGGAGCTTACCCCGGGGGCACTTTATAAGGGGCACCCTGCGACGGTGAGCGCAGCTGCTTCTCGGGGTGA